GAGACCAGACACGAAACCACGAATTAATATAAATTCCACGAAGACATTGTAAGGAAAATTATAGCAAACATCGTTATTTTTGATCACATAAAAACTTAGTTAAATTTGTTCTTCTCGAATATATTGTAAATTATTTGTAATAATTAGTAATAATGTGTATTTGAGTAATAAGTGTGGGAAAGCCATGCATCGGCACGAATGGGCCGGCTCGAGCGGAGTGATACCACGACCTCACAGAAAACCGACGTGAAGCAACGCTTGCGTTGTGTTTCGTCGTGCGAGTGAGGTTACCGGAGGCCCAATTACCCTCCCCTTCCCCAATCTCCCCAATCCCTGAATCCCCATCGATCCTCAGACTCCTAATCCCCAAAAAGCCGGTAACGCACTTGTATCGCCCCTGGTGTTCCAGGTGTCCATGGGCGACGCCGATTGCTAACCATTAGGTGATCCGTCTGCCCGTTTACCGGCTCATGCCATAAAAAAAATAATGAGAAAATTGCTAAACAAATAAAGTATCCTATAATATTATGCTGAAAAAATATAATCGTTCAACTGGCTAAACCTAACGCAAATTGGGTTACAAAAATTAATATCAAAAACACATATTGTGGCTTTTGACTAGGGGTTTTGTAAAATAAATGCTTTGCGGACCTATGTAATTGAAAAATCCCCGAAGCTAGCTTCATGGAATAGATTAATTTCAAATAGAAATATTGATATAAGTATTTCGAAAAGTGTCTAAATTGATAAAGTAGTATAGACCGCGGTTAGAATTTGCCGTATTTGTTTTATAGTAATTTTCCCAGAATGTATATAGAGATTTTTAACCGACTTCAAAAAAAGAGGTTACCAGTTTGACCTGCATGTATTTTTGTGCGCAATTATCTCGCAATCGCCTAATTTTGATCCGATTTCCAGAAAAGTGTTTGTTATAGTTAGGAGAAGGTTTTATTAATTAACCGACTTCCAAAGGAGGGGGTTGGAGACGGTTTAATTTTTTTTAAACGTGTTTTTTTAAATATTTATTGCAATAAATACTTTTCAACGAAATACTACCCAAGATCATAATTTCACTAAATATATAGTCGTATAGTCGCAGCGAAGTATAAAAATAACCATGAAGTCGGTAAAAATGAATTCCGATGTTATACCATTATAACCAAATTAGTTACTACAAAAAATTAGTTCCATAATTAGTTCCGCAGTAGTAGCTTCATCTAGAAGAAAATTAGGTTTAAGAATTTCCTTTATTCCTAGTTTTTGTTCTCTGTACAATTACGAATCTGTGCCCAGTTTTGATGTCAGTAAAATACTCTTTGTGTTTTGACGTATTCTTGGCAAAAGAATAACAATTTTGCTACTTCAAAAGCTAAATCTAGTACTTGATTCTTTCGTTTCAAGGTAAAAAAAAAGTCAGTAGAGGAGAATTTTGGGTATAAGTATTTTTTATTTCAGTTGGTGTCAGTTTGAAATTAGGAACGGGAATCAATACGGTAAGCAATATAAGGCGTACCCAAGTTTAGGTGCAAGTTTTTTATTGATAAAAATATAAAGTTAGTCAATTCGTAATCAGACCACCACGGCCCAACAGGGCTGATGTCGATACGGAGTCGCGGAGAACCTAACGGGTTACCGGGGCTCCGGCTCGAAGTGCAGGAGTAGGAACGGGGTGGTTTTTAGTCAGTAAGAGTCTGACAGTCATTCGATGATTTTCCCCCCTTAAAAAAGAAGTCAATTCGTATTATCACACCATAATTAAACTTTTAAACAACAACTCATCATGATATAGTATCTAAATTTACTCTAGCGTTACAAACTGGCAATTTCGCTACTGAGATCTTTTAGAAATCATTGGAATTCAGGGTCTAGAACCCTGACTAAGTACAAATTCCGCCTAGCATAAAAGATTTTGGAAACCTAGACTTTAAATCTATGAATATAAAACCTAGAAAGTCGAAGCAATAAGTTGTTTTAACGGCCTTAACTGGCATTTTTATTACTGAATTTACTTTCACTATTAGAGTAGTATAGTCAACATGGTTAGAGAATAAAAACTGATCCTTGAAAAAGACGGATAACCTATGGTCGGCATTTTGTAAACCTTGTGTCCCTTTCTTGTTAGTGACAAATTGTTGTTTTTTTGGTAAACAATAGTTTATCTTCTTCTATCTTCTATAGAGATTTGATCTTCGTTATAAACATACATTTTACTATACCATTCGATAATTCTCTGTTATTCTCTGCTCACGGTGGGCTGGGACTTATATTTATGATCAGTACTCGTGAATAGTATGTCTCACGATTCTTAGGACTAGTAAACAAAAACAAATGCTTTAAGAATAACTAATGAGAAATTAATTTTCTTATAACATAACATAACATAACGTCATGCCTTTTAAACCCGAAGGGGTAGGTGCACTTAATGCCACTCTACAATGAAACACCGACTTTTCATTGTTTATGTTATGAGCCCCATGTAATAGGGGGTGAGCCTATTGCCATATACCGGGCACAATTCCAAACTCCGTGCTACTACTGAGAATTTTTGATAAAATCCAATGATACTTTGCACGACCCGGGAATTAAACCCCAGAGCTCTAGTCGCAGTCGCACTTGCGACCTCTCGGCCAGCGAGGCAGTCAGTAGTTTTTTTTATCTGCACAATAAATAGTTTGGCTGACTGTACCTTCTCTTTTATCAAGGTTAAACTCAATGAGGCATCATATTAGCAGATTCCTAGAATAATTGACTCCAAATATTTTGCGTAGAAAACAAAATATTTGGTTGTCTATTAAACAAAGATTAATAGTTTCTTAATTGTTACTATAAAGTCAACGGTTCCATTTGAATTCCATTAACTTTGCTTCTACAGAATCGTTTTGTTTTTATATTTTGTACAAAGTTAATAAAAGTCTACATAAACACGCAAGGAGGCTGTTAGGTAACCCATTACTTTACTTTACTTCACTTTCGATGTCTTTTTAAAATTCTTATGATAGACCGTAAAGTCTGCTTTGCATTTAACTTCTAATTCTGTGTAATTTTGGTAATATTTATTTTTATTTTCGACTTATAATTACTAAACATTGTTTTTAAATAATAATTTTGATTGGTTTTTAAGATTTTATAAAAAAATATGGTATGAGAGTAATTGAGCCTCTGGTAACCTCACTCACACGACGAAATACAACGCAAGAGTTGTTTCGCGTCGGTTTTCTGTGAGGCCGTGGTATCAATCCGGTCTATCCGGCCCATTCGTATCAAAGCATGGCGGTCCCACATTTACATGGGCCTCATGCCTAACCAGCATAATTATTATTTCTCCTATTCCATAACCAAACAAGCATACTTATTCTATTCTGTTGTATTTCTCTTATTTCTTTTTTTTCCTGCTTTCTCTTGTCATATTAATATGTAAATGCCAAACCCATACATAGGTACTTAGCATTAGAGTAAACAGTCCTTTTGTCTTCTCTCAACAGAATATCATCTTACCTTTTCTTAGCAAATAAACAAATACCTCCATTCAGAAAACAATGGTAGCGTTGCCAATCAATTAAGAATTCTATTGTTGCGATATTAAGTCTAGAACTAAATTCGAGTGGTTTACAAACAAGAGGACGAAGAAACCTCATCTTTAGTAGACGTTTGATGAGCAGAATAAATAAATAGTTTGGTAATACTTTAGTATTGTGTGAGTTTGGATGAGTATTTTGTAATTGAATTGGCATTGAAGACTTTGGCCGGTGTAAGTAATTTGGTATGAAGTGGCATAAGTGACCAATAAGAATCCTTTTTGAAGTCGCTCAAAACTGAAATGAAATTTCATTCAATTTTATTTTTATTGCCCAGTGATGAGAACAGGAATACGCGGGCGTATTCTTTTTTTATTCCATAAGAGCATTTAATAGGGATAAAAAGTAAATCGGGGTAAAATTTTCATCAAAAGCCGTTCAGTAGTTTCGGCATGATTGATGGACAAACATCCAAACAAAGACACGTTCATAATATTAGTATTTGATGGTTTGTGTTGGTCTGGTGACTTAAGACGCCTGCTTCTCATGCATGAGGGTGCGGGTTTCGAAACCTACCAACGGCAAGTACCAATGTGACTTTTCCGAGTTATATGTAAGTACTTTTTAAGATTATCTAGACACCCCTGACAAACGGTGAAGGAAAACATCGTGAGGAAACCTGGGCTTATGATTTCTAATTATAAGTTTGTAATCGCCTACCCGCTTTGAGCAAGCGTGGTGATTAATGCTCAAACCTTCTCTGTGTGACAAAAGGCTTTGCTCAGCAGTGGGCATTTAGAGGCTGTTGATGGTGATGATGAATGATGATTTGACGTTTGTCCACTATCTTTCTATTAAGTACAATGATATTTCACTTCAGTTATAAAACATTGATATTTAAATTCCCTAAAAGAAAAAACATGCCCATGGCGATGAACATTTGGTTATTATAATCACACAATATAATTTATTTACTATCCAATTGTCAACTCATTACATTTCAATTACAAATTTGTGTTTATTAATTAGCCAACGGATTGTGAACAAAACGAATTTAACTGCAGCAGTAATCCTTCCGGGAAGGTGTTTAAAATTAACCGAGTTTTAAGGGCACAGGACCGAAAACTTTGGTTCACGAACTTTTGAACTCCAGTGATGTGAAGTTCAATGTTCTTAGATTGTTGTTCAGATTTAATCTAAGTCTGTTATTTCTTAAAGAGGTAAATAAAAGTTGAAGTCATTGGTTTTATATTGGTGAATTAATGATTACAACTTGAATTGGTTGCACTGTCATCTTAATTAAATTAAAGTTTACTAAATAATACACAAGAAAATACGACAAAGACTGCTGTGCTAATCTCATCATTAACAAAAAATAATACTGTTGCAGTCAGGAGCTCCACGGAGGTTTTTACTTTAAAGTAAAAATGTAAAACCAAACAAAACAAAATGGATCCACTCCAAAGAAGATGTAAGTACACTTACCGGCGATAGCAAGTTGCATGATAAAGAAGTTCATACGACTTTTCCTTGCATTCGTGCAAAGTAAGGCGGCGATCACAGAGGCGTTCAGCACCACTATAGCGACGAACAGCACCCACATCACCGTGAACTGGACCGACTGGAAGATAACGAATGGAAAAGTTATTGTGGTTCTTATTCTTATATGGATAGGTGTCAGTTTTGTATGGTTTTTAAATTTTAGTTTGGTCTTTGTGTCTGTGTGTGTTTGGAACTGTGAAATATTTGCCTTTGATGCGCATTATTTTCTTGAGAAATAGATAGGAGTGTCACTAAGGCTACTTATGATAAGTTAGGTATATGTAAGTAATCATCAGAAGTAGATTATTACCGAATAGATACTGGAACTCATTTAAAACTCCCGCCTCTTGATGACAATGCGTTTTTAATTATTTACCAATCGGTGAACCCACTTAAAACCTTGTTTTAGAAAAATAGTAACTAATAAACCTATTATATAATAGCGTATTTCTGTTTACTTCACTTCTAAATCTAACCATTCAAGTCTTCGTTCCTAGACAATGATCATCAATAACTAACACCAAAACTAAAATAGATGTTATAGATATTATGCCTAACAATATAACGTCTGGCCTATTTAACTCGTCGAGTACCGGTTTTATAGACACAATTAAAGAACAATAGGTCGCGGTCACCGGTGACCGCTTGGTGTTTGACAGTTTAAACAATATTCCTCTTTATAATCTAGACGTCTTGTCGACAAGTCTAATCGTATTTTAACACATTTTTTTTAACAAAATTTTCCCTAACATTTCAACAGTTAATTTAAATTTTTCAACAAATAATTTGTGCTAAGCGTTCGTTCTATCATCGCTTCGTAATAAGAAATTAATTCTATTCGAAACTGTCTGCTTTAAATATAGTAAGCTTCCATTAATCATTGCGTTCAAACTTCTCTTCAAAAATTAATTCACGTTTAGTCAGGAGCTTCTTACCAAGACTGTGCATACAAAAAAAAAGGTAGTTATAATTTTAAATATTTCTTTTTTGATTGTTTAATACTTGCTGCTGCTCACGACTTCGTCCGCGTAGAATATGATTCCTATTTCATTCCATGGGAGCATTTAACCGGTATAAAAAGTATCCTATCACCTAAGTCAGCCTATACTCTGGTAAACAACAAAAATGAAAATCTGTATAGTAGTTTCAGCGTGACAACAAACATCCGAATAAAGAAAATTTTACATTTATAATATTAATAATATGTATCAAAATATTTTAAGTAAAACTCTATTGTTACTCTCTTTTGTTACTATGTGGATGACTGATAGGCAACGTACCTATAGCTGACACTAGTGGACGAAGAAACTTTTTTGTACGTAACTGCATATTATTAAATAGTATTACTATTTATACGTAGGCTCAATTCCCCCCCCCCCCCTCCAATCTCCCCAATCCCCGAATCCCCAACCATCCGCAAACTCCTAATCCCCAAAAGGCCGGTAACGTACTTTTAACACTTCTGGTGTTCCAGGTGTCCATGGATGACGCCGATTGCTTACCATCAGGTGATCCGTCTGCTCGTTTACCGGCTTATGCCATAAAAAATAATATCTTATATTCTTAAAAGGAACTCTTGTATGCTCTGATTATATATACCTAACTACTTGTACAACTTTACATAGTAGGTACAAACTGATAGATAGATAGATTTTCATATTGAAGTAAGTTCGACATTGGGTAGATTTTAGCGGGCTCAAATCCAGCTCAAACTGAAAGCAGCTAATCTGGATGAGCGGGAAGGATTTTCGAGAAATAGAAAAGTTTAAAAACGTGGAATAATGTTAACACAATCACCGATAACGTATAATGTGTAATGTGTATAGTTTGTTGTTATAACTATTACTTTTGCTATGCACGCCCTCACCTTCTAACTACATAGATACTCAATAATTTTTAACTCCCAGACTCACTTCCTAAGTTTCGTAGAGAGTCTTTCATCGACCCTCACTCTACAAAGTGAGATTTCGAAAAGGATTTAAATAAGTACCAAAACGAAACAAAATGTTGTTTGAGCAACAGTCACTGGCTGTCGTTTAAACGGTCACATACGAATGCCTACTCTAAAGATTAATAATATTAATATAAATCCAGGAAAAAGGGACACTACGGGGAAAAAGAGCAGGCCTAAAAATAGCACTAAAATGTTTTATCAAAATTATTAAGTTATGTCAGCACTACCTGATGTTAAAAGCCTGAAGTATCGCTGTTTGATAACACTATCGCGAACTCTCGACATTCTATGACGTTGTCCCCAAAATATCCATTAGATGATTAAAACCCTTCACGATATAACACGTGTAATCCAACAAAAATGCTGTGGGTGGATTTGTTATATATTTTTATCAATTTACTATAATATCGTATGGCTTTGGCTAGGGCTAGGGCTTACTTGCAATACTGTAATTTATTTATTTCTGCCATTTTTGCAATTCTTGCTATTTGGCGCCGTTTATGTATAAGATCGACAACTAGTTTGAAACTGAAGAGTAATATTATAAAAAGTTTTAAGTATGGAAGAGCCTTGCTTCGACATGAATGGGCCGGGTCGACTGGAGTGATACCACGGCCTCACAGAAAACCGACGTGAAACGACGCTGGCGTTGTGTTTCGTCGTGTATGTGAGGTTACCGGAGGCCCAATCACCCCTCCCTAGTCTCCCGAATCCCTGAATCTTCCCAAAAGACCGGTAACGCACTTGTAATGCCTCTGGTGTTCCAGGTGTCCATGGGCGGCGCCGATTGCTTACCAACAGGTGATCCGTCTGCTCGTTTACCGTAGGATAAATTATGGAAACATAATACACTGGACTTCTTTGGACAAATGCTGGAAATAGGGCATGTGCAGAGCTATCTACCTCTAAGTACACGTATCTTTTTAGAGAGATACATAAGTATACGTAATTATGACTAAAAAAAATGTATGCATTAGCAATCACTTGATTTTGTACCTATATCGAAAAGGAATAACGTTCAAAATTATAAATTACGTCACGAACCCACGCACAATGGTATATATATGAACTAAAGTTTCAAAAGCTACATAATTATTATAATCATGAAATAATTCAACCTTAACATTCTTAATGTTATGTTTTCGAACTTTGATGTTACTAGCATCGGTGTGCTTAACATGATAACTTTGAAATTATACATTGTTTTCATATCATTAAAAGCATCGTCAAGCATAAATTATGTGGCGTAGGAAAATATGCATATCACTAGCTGTTGCCCGCGACTTCGTCCGCGTAGATTAATGACTTCTGACAAAATTAATCAATTCAGTGCCCAAGTAAGATTTACCTATTTTGAAATGATTTATCGTAGTTTCAATAAATAAATAATCCCGCAGGGATCTTACCAGTACAGTGCCCGATCACGTAAGGTTTGAGTAATAAAAACTATTCTATCGACTATTGTTGTACCGAATCTCTCTAAAATAAGTTCAGTGGTTAAGAGTTAGAGAGTCCTGGGGCATTGACGAATAGTTCCCGTTCCCGTGGGACATCTGTGATAAAAACTATCAAACGTTAATCATCGTTTTACCGAATGTAATTCAAAAAGATTCAATGATTCTAAATTCAATGGCTAAGAAGATTTATACAAATTCTCATTTTATCCCCTTAGGGGTGGAATTTATCAAAATTCTTTCTTTCACAGCGGATGCCTACGTCATAACATCTATCTGCATGCCAAATTTCAACCCGATCGGTTTAAAACTGACAATGTCTCATACAAACTTTCATCCCCTATTTTACCCCTTGGGGGTAGAAATTATCAAAATCCTTTCAAAGCGGATGCTTAAGTCATAACATCTATCTGCATGCCAAATTTCAACCCGATCGGTTTAAAACTGACAAAGTCTCATACAAACTTTCATCCCCTATTTTAGCCCCTTGGGGGTGGAAATTATCAAAATCCTTTCACAGCTGATGCTTACGTCATAACATCTATCTGCATGCCAAATTACAACCCGATCGGTTTAAAACTGACAAAGTCTCATACAAACTTTCATCCCCTATTTTACCCCTTTGGGGGTGGAAATTATCAAAATCCTTTCACAGTGGATGTTTGCGTCATAACATCTATCTGCATGCCAAATTTCAACCGGATCAGTTAAAAACTGACAAAGTTTCATACAAACTTTCATCCCCTTTTTTACCCCCCTGGGGATGGAAATTATCAAAATCCTTTCTTAGCGGATGCCTACGTCATAACATCTATCTGTATTCCAAATTTTAGCCCAATCTGTCCAGCGGTTTGGGCTGTGCGTTGATAGATCACTATGTCAGTCAGTCAGTCAGTCAATCACCTTTGAATTTTATATATATAGATTAAGTCTTGAAAATTTTGTTATATCATCACCTGTTATACGCTGAAAATAAATATGCGTATTCGCAAATAATACTTTTATAATTCTTAGTGATATATACTTAAGTGTGGAACAAATGGCCCGGCTCGACCGGAGTGATACCACGGCCTCACAGAAAACCGACGTGAAAAACACTTGCGTTGTTTCGTCATTTGAGTGAGGTTACCAGAGGCCCAATTACCTCCCTTTCCAATGTCCTCAATAATCCTTAACTTCCTAATCCCAAAAGACCGGTAACGCATTTGTAATACCTCTAGTGGTTCGGCTGTCTATGGATGGCGCCGATTGCTTACCATCAGGTGATAACGGTTCATTCCATAAAGTAAAATACTAATATTATAATGTGAAAGTCTGTTGCTTTATATATCTTTTTTCATGTCGATTAGTTTCTCTCACTGTTGGTAGTTATGAAAATCCAACTAATGTATGTAGTAGTCTTTAACATAACTTAACACAACATTTTATCCCCGAAGGGGTAGGCAGAGGTGCACATTACGGCATTTAATGCCACAGTACAATGTAAAACACACTTTTCACTATTTACGTTATCTATGAAATCTATAAATCCCGTGTAATAGGGGTCAGCCTATTACCATATACCGGGCACAATTCCAGACTCCGTGTTACTACTGAGAATTTAAAAAAAAGAACCCAGTAGTACTATGCTCGATCCGGGAATCGAACCCGAGACCCCTTGCCCGGTAATCACACTTGCGACCACTCGGTCAACAAGGCAGTCAGTATAAACATTTTATGCGTTGACAGAATATCTGTTTACTTACAAACTTCTATAAAAGTTAACATTAAAGTTTCACAAAAGTCAATGAACCTGTTCTAAGTATAAATGCCATTTAATCCATGGTATTAACTACTAAAACAATGTTTGATAGCTGTAGATAGTAATTATTTAGATAATGGTTAGGTGACGAGTTGAGATTGACAGCGTACGTGTAGTTATGACTCATATCAAAATTGCTATATCATAATAACATGAGTGAGGGCCTAAGATATTTGGAATTTTCTTTTATTAGGAAAATGGTTTATCACTCGATACTAAAATTCACCAAAGATTAAAAGTACTAATTTGACTCTGCACTTTATATATTTATATTAAACTTTGCCGATTGAACTTTGATTAAAACCGACTACACGGTTGGCACGGTGGTAGGACAAGTGGCTGCCATGCAACGTGTCGCGGATTCGATTCCCGCACGGAACAATTCTTTGTGTGATCCACAGATTGTTGTTCCGGGTCTAGGTGTTATGTGTATGTGAAATTGTATGTTTGTAAACGCACACACGACACAGGAAAAAGCCTAGTGTGGGACAACATTTTTTTAAAACTAAACAACTAAAAATAAATAACTAAAATACTTCTACTTATGCGAAAACACAGGGATACCTATCGGATAAATACGAGATCTCAAGTAGCTACACTCCATAACGAGTCCAACATGCATGTATAAAATTTAAAAAACCTGCAATATTTTTTTTTATGATAGTTCCAGCATCTGTGTGTAGTTTTGTGTCTATAAATAAGACAATCGTGTGTGGTTCTGAATGTAGATATTATAGTGTTATATGACTTACATCATAAAAGTAATAGAAGTTGAGGTCGGTGGTAGTGTTGGTGGCATTCTTGATAGGACCGTGGTCATCATCAGGAGTGAACACAGTCGTGAGGAATGCCGGCCGCGGCGTCGTCTGCTGTTCTAGTTCTTCGATCATGATGTCTAATGCCATAATACTGCAACAAATAGAAAGATGGAATGAGTAAGGCAATGGTTTCGCAAAATACATAATTTTCTCAAAAACCTGGCTACATGTAGAACCAATAATATATACGGTAAGCTTATGTGGTCTCAGTAGGCTTGTAATGATAATTATCATTAGACTATTCGATAAAACCATTTTTCATAGCAATATCACTACATAGTATAAAATAAAGTCGCTATCCGCTGTCTGTCTGCTCCTATGTATGCTTAGATCTTTAAAACTATGCAACCGGTTTATGATGCGGTTTGTTAAATAGATTCAATGATTCTTAGGGAAGGTTTATATGTATAATACACGCATATTGCACCCGTGCGAAGCCGGGGCGGGTCGCTAGTAATTTATAAATAAAAATCATTTCCGTTGCACCAATTAGTGCCATTTGAAATAATGTTACGTCATTATTGCACGGACAACTTTTGCATAAAGCCCGCCATTTCACTCATCACTTGTCGGCGAAGTTACGCCGAAACGAACGCCGATACACAACACGAGGACAGATTTTTCCCTACCTATATTGAAGGTATATTGTTAGGACTTTGTGTCGGCGAAGGGTGACATTGTCGGCGAACACGTGTCGGTGTTAGTGATGCCTTGTTTAATACGTACAAAGGCCTGAGTTACTGTACTGTAGCCAGAGCATATCGTGGTCTATTTTAACTAACGAATATTATTTGAAATTGTAAGGATCGGATTTTTAATCCACTTCAAAAAAAAAAAGAATAAAGTTCTCCATTTGACCTGCATGTCGCGTTTGTGCGCGATTATCTTGCAATTTAATGAACCGATTTTGATGCAGTTTTCAAAGGTGTTTGTAATAATAAGTAGAAGGTTTAAGTAGGTATATTATTTAACTGAATTTCAAAAAAAGAGGGGTTTGAAGTCTATTTCTTTAAACGTCATAATATAATTATAGTGTTATATTCCAATAGGGAGAGCAGAGGTTTTACACTAGTTACTTTATAACCAAGGAAGATGGAGATCGCTCACTCAGTCTTTCCTGTTGTAGTTCAAGTACCTACATGGTAATAAAGACGAATTATTACCACAATCCGATTTATCGTGTCACTCATAATTTTAAAATGTATGCTAATAATTTTACAAACAAAATGTGAAACTTAATCATGGTATATTATTGAATGGTACCTGAAATTTGATGATGAACCTGGGATCTGAACCGGAGACATATAATAACTTCCAATTAAATATGATTTCCTCTTTGAGAAATAATACACCGACATCTGTAATTAAACTGTTCTCTTATACCTTTTTATGGCATCTGAGCGGATGGATTGCCTGATGGTAAGCTAAAGTAAGCAATCGAAGCCCACGGATACCCAAAATTCTAGAGGAGTTACAAGGCCATTGCCGGCCTTTAGGTCAGGATTTGAGGATTGCGCTGTGTTTATTAGGCCCCCAGGAACCTCACCCGCACGACGAAACACAACCCAGGTTTTATAGGGTACCTATTTTTATGGGATAAGCCAGTAAACGAATAGACGGATCACTTGATGGTAAACAATCAGCGCCACCCATTGTCATCCGAAACACCGGAGGTGTTGCAAGTGCGTTACCGACCTTTTCGGTATTAGGAATTTGAGAATTTTTAGGGATTCAGAGATTGGGGAGGATGGTAATTGGGCATCCGGTAACTTCATTCACACGACAAAATATAACGCAAGAGTTGTTTTACGTCGGTTTTCTGTGAGACCGTGGCACTTCGGTGGAGCCGGCCCATTCGTGCCGAAGCATGGTTTTCCCACACTTAATAACCATCCAATGTATTCAGTACCAAACGTACCATTCCTAGCATTGCGTTCACCGTTTAGTTTCCACATGAGAGGGTTACGTTCCTGACTCTGCTTGCACTGGCCACAACTATTTAATTAAAGTTTTCCTTTAACGAAACGTATTTTCGTTGCATCTGTCTTTGTTGGACTACAGTCCTGGTGAGGTTTCGTATGTTTGCCACAATTTCGTGTTGCTAGATGAAATTAGAGGCATGTTATACATGTTAATTTTAACGTTAAGTTTAGCCATAAAATATCTTGTTGTAAAATTAAACATAAAGACAAAAATTTAATGATTTTCGAATTTTAAATGCATTTTGTTCTTCAACATAGGTATTTAATTTGAAACGAAAGCAGCTGCGTATTTTAAATTAAACCTTCCAATAGTATTGCTGCAAACTGCTCATAATTGTGCAATCAAGCTATTATTCAAAAAAGGACAAAATAAGCCACCACCCGAACTACCTACAAAAACAAAAGAAGAATTTAATAAAGTATTCTCAGTGGTCTGAAAAAAGGTTGTATTTCGTCTCAAATGGCAGCCGTCAACAATTCACACTGGCCACATAATGAACAAAGAGAAAAAGAAGTCTTATTTTCATAATAAGACAGACCATGAAAGACCTTACATTCTGCCAATTAATCTTGGACAAGGTCGGTGATTCCGTGTATCATTAGGAGTGCCTATGTAACTATTACATACATCTAGCCAGCCAAAAATAACCCTTACAGTATTTAACATAGAAACCATTACTGTACAGCATTTCGGTCGATATATGGTTATGTGTGACGCAAAAATAACCCTTATGGTATTTGACATAGGGACTTCTTAGCTGTCACCTTTGAACTGTGTTTGCTAACCTGTAATTAACGTTTATATGTTAGTTTATCTATGTAAAAGAGATGAGACATACCACATTTTGGTTCATCTTGTGTTTAGTGAGATAACCTTGTTATGTATAAGTAAGGGTTGGTAAAAGATGGCCGCTAGAGGGAGATAAGAAAGGCCTTTACTCAATATTGATACAGGTGACAGTACGGTTAACGCAGTGATTGATGTGCAACGTGTCACACGGGACAATTATTTAGATTTATTGTTCCGGGTGAACTCACCCACGATATAGGAGAAAATCTTATAGTGATTCAATATTTTAGAAACAGGGTTTTCAATAATAACGGCTAGTACAGGCGTTTCTGTGTTTTTTTCCCAGCCGTAGATAAATCTAAGTGAATAAAATGTGATGCATGTTTAAAATAAACACATTTTAATATGGTGCTAATAAAATCTAAATAATAGATGCCTATTGCCAACAGCAATCCCCAAAAGTTCAGATTTTAAAGTTCACATTACTACTTCAAAAACAAGATTTCCAATCAACTTATTTGATTGATTGAAATGTTAAAATAATTGCAATTAAAATCAAAGATATCTGAAATGTTTAAAGTTTGGCCCGACTTTGTCCGAAGCTCAGTAAAGTAAATACATTCAGACTCAATTAATTCATTTCGTTAATTGTTATTTCTTTTGAAAAAGCATTTTGGTATGATTTCGTAAAATATCCATAAAGTCTAACTACTGTTCAAACGAGTTGATACAAGTTAACTTGGTAGTTGCTTTAATAATTCTAAATTACACATTTAAAAAAACCGACTTCAACCCCCTCTTTTTTAAGTAATTTAATTAATATACTAAAACCTTCTCCTAAGTGTAACACACACTTATCTGAAGCGTCAAATTCTTTACAACTAAAGCAAAGCCGCACGAATGCGCGCGTATTCGAGAGTATACGCACGCACTCTTTGACGAGTGGTAGGTAATGGGCATTAACTGCATGGATTATATAGGCATTCATATTTTTACACCAGTAAATTAATTTTTCGTCCGAATCCATTCGCTAGTGGCGCGTGGATACGTGAGAATGCGCGCGCACCAATCAGCGTTGGTGCGTTACGCTGTTGGGTTGAGGTTGAATTTGTTATGTTCAGTTTTGAATAGACGCTTCGATGCGCTTCTACTCTGCCCTAGTATAAATTGACCCTAAGTCGGTTCAGCCAATGGCGAAATAATGGCGCAGAAACATTCATATGGCTGTATGTATGTACATACATATGTCGGAACCGGTCATGAGTACGGACGCTAAACGTTACGCAACGCGCCACCTAGCGGATTACCGGTGAGCTTAGGCGGAGTCGAGGCGTTGGAGTCGGACTCGACGGAGCTCACTTCAGTTCGAGTCGCCACCGGGTGGAGACGTTGTCACGGAACTGCCCTACGTTTCGCATAGTGCCAAGTTACTGTACCTTGTGATTATAAGAAACTCAGTGATGAATTCTAAACGCTTTTCCTATTTACACGATACTCATATTCGGCCACATTAAGGTATATCTGAGTAGTCAGTACTTAATTCTGCCTCCTCTAACATCAGAAGACGGATTATTGTTGCCTTCGACACATACATACAAATAGGTCAAAGTAAGGACCTCCTTTTTTAGACATAATAATAACATAATATCACGCCTTTTATCCCCGAAGGGGTAGGCAGAGGTGCACATTATACCACTGTACAATGTAACACCCACTTTTCACTATTTATGTTATGAGTCCCATGTAATAGGTCCTTTTTTAGAAGTTGGTTAAAAGTAGGTATTGTCAGATAGCGCTGTTGTCTGATCTCTGTCTAAGGTGAAGTGCCTTAGTCGACTTTAACCCGTCGAGCGTCCGCGTTCCTTATGATCCAACGGGTGCACAAGTGACATTTGGAGAAAGAAAGAAATAAAGAAAGAAAATGCATTTATTTGGCCATTGGCACAGGAAAACAAGGATCATTATAAAAGAAATAAAAATACAGTCAATATAAAAACAAAATATTAATAATAGATTTTATAAAAGAGAAAGCGGCATGGAGCATTTTTTCTTATGATCCACCGGGTGCTCATAAGGACGCTCGAGAGGTTAACGACACCTATGAAAAGAGTACGGAAATCTTGACGAATGTATTGTACTCTGCTATCAACAAACGGATTAATTGCGACTACCAGTGACACAGTTAAAAATAATCTCTCAGAGATGTTAATTAAGAAACTCGAACAAAACTTTCTGTTTTAAGTTTCTTTTAAAATCTCTGCCTCCGTACAAACGATTTAAGCGAAACAATAAATTAGCAGTATTCAATGTAGCGT